ACAAATTTACCAATTTGTGTACTCTTTAAGGAAAAAGTTCTGGTCTGATTATTCAATATCCCCTCAACACATAGAACTGTTCCTTGGTCTAGTCATTGTATTTGCTATCCAAACACTTGTGGGCTTGAAATGAATAAAATAGAATTAATAAAAGATATTCTAATAATTGTTATGATTGGTTGAATTTTAATTTCAAATAGTTCTAAAATGAAAATTGGTAATTCTTAAGAGCTTTGCTTCTGTTCCCTTTTGCTAATTTTCATTTTCTTAAATGAGATAATTATGATCTAACTGAGTACAGTGCTTGAGCCTATATAATAAATGCCCAAAAGACAGAAACTTTTAATTACTTGAGCTGTTTTTTTATTATATGCATTTTTCCTCTGAAATAAGATCTAATTTCACCTGAGAAATTTCAGTTTGATTTCTTCTTTTTAGGGATTCTTTGTAAAATATCTTAATGAACTGCTAGGAAGAATAAAATGTACTGTATTTCATAGTAAGTTTATATGCATTTTATATTGCATCTGTCATCTAATAGTCCATTGTCTCATTGGCTCATTATGCTTAATGGGAGCATATTTTGAAATGAGGTGTGATGCAAAGTCATAAATGTAATTTATAGTTCTTTCCATGGCACTTTTGCTCTAAGCCTTTCAAACATTTAGCAAGTGTAAAATGAGCCCTCTTAATGAATGAGCAATTTGAGGCATCAACAAAAGAAGTGTAATTTTTCCCCTGGTGTGAGAATAACTAAACAACTGATACCAATCTATAATTGCTCCACTTCTGACAACTTTGTCTCAGTCATGTCAAGACAGGTGTATAAACAAGTCAAATACTATGTATCTGTATTTGGGGACTCTGAACAATGGAATCCTCTAGTCCAATCTTGTCTATGAGATAGTGTAAGTCACATATGTGGCCAAATTGTCGAATAGCCACATTGAAGAAGTCAAAAGAAATAGGTGAGATTAATTTAAATGTCATTTAAACCCAAGGTATCCAAAGTATCATGTTTTTAATGTGCAATAAATATAAAAAATTGAGAAATTTTCACTTCATTTTTTTCCACTCAAAATCTCAAAAATATAGCATCTAATTTACACAGTGCATATCTCAGTCAAGTGCTCAATTCTTACATATGTCCATGGCCTATGACTACCATACTGGAAAACACAGCTCTGATTTGGAAGACATACAGAGGATAATACAGAGGGCAACTGTGTGGTATAGGGAAAAAATTGTAAAAACAAGAGCAGTAGTATAATACATTTCTGTTCTTAGATATGACACATAATATTGTGTGTCTATGAACAATGATTAAGTTCTCTGGTTATCAAATTTCCACTCTGTAAAACTGTCAGGAGGCTATGGAGGTAAATAAGAGACTGTATGTAAAAGTGCTCTCTTCTATCATATATCATCATATACATGTAAAACTTTATTAGCCTCCCTGTTGTAGATTTAGCCTTATGACTCCCTAAAGGTCATATTCTAAGTTGGTAGGCATCTGACTTCCAGTTCTCTGCTGAAACTAGTTGTTCATTTTAAGCTAGCCTAACCCCCTCGGCCCTTTCCCCAATCTTTATCCTTAAAAAATGTAAGGCAGAGTGGGAGTAAGAAGTAAAGGAGTAAATTCAATATTGAGTAGACAGGGTCATCTTGTCCACTGCTATAATGTTTGGCAAGAAAATGAAACATACAGGTTATTTATATACCTATATATCATGATGGCATCCATTAAGGATTGGACTTTATTACTGTCATATAATATAAAACCTCATATTTTTCAAAGTTTCAGACAACTTCCAAATTGAACTGTGGTTTCTCCTCTCTATTTATCTCCAAAATATAGTGCAACCACAAGAAAGTCCTTCCCCAGTGGGCTTGATTAATAAAACAGATAGGGATCAATTTAGTAGATTTTTTCATAGATATTTTTGGTTCCAGATGTAGTTCATTAATTTCAATGTATTACACACCACCTCTTTAGTGTGAATCCAACCTATATATTAATATCCAAACATAAAATGAGAATGATAGCACAGCGGTAGGGCGTTTGCCTTGCACGCAGCCAACATGGCCGACCCGAGTTCGATTCCTCCGCCCCTTTCGGAGAGCCTGGCAAGCTACCTGTGATGTATTCGATATGCAAAACGCAGTAACAACAAAGTCTCCAATGGAGACATTACTGGGCCCGCTCGAGCAAATTGATGAACAACGGGAGGACCTTTAATCTATACTACTTATGCTTACTATGTTTGAGGCACTTAAAAAATTTTAATAAGCAAAACAACTCTTTCTGTGACAAATGTCACTCAGAGAAAGGTTATTAAATCTAAAATATTTAATTAATTTAATATTTACCATGGACTGGAGTGATAGCACAGCGGGTAGAGCGTATACCTTGCATGCAGCCAACCCGGGTTCAATTCCTCCATCCCTCTCAGAGAGCCTGGCAAGCTATGAGAGTATCCCGCCCACAAGGCAGAGCCTGGCAAGCTCCCCATGGCATATTTGATATGCCAAAAACAATAACAACAAGTTTCACAATGGAGATGTTACTGGTACCCGCTTGAGCAAATCCATGAACAACGGGAGGACAGTGCTACAGTGCTAATATTTACCAAAATGTCTATGCACATGATTCAGAAATGTATATTTCAAGAGATAAAAAGAGGATCAGAAAGAACAATCAAGATAACTAAGATACATATAGCTATTATACTTATTTTTTCAGGGGACATACAGAATCCTACTTATGATCATCTAGTTCCATATTATAAGCTGTTTATGGTCTTTATATTTAATATTTTGTCATTTTCTACATAATTTCAAGTAAATTTCTCTTGTTATGTGAAATTTAGCATAAATCAGATTTATTTTCACTAAGCATACATATATTGAAAGCTTTCTTTATTTTTTTCTGTCAAGATTTTTTCTTAATATGAATTCCATCCTTATTATTAGAAAACTATCATATTAGAAAACTATTATAGAAAACCATCCCAAACTTTGGTCCTGCCTCTGGCTGAATTACTGACCATGTTGGATAAGTGTGATTTTTATTTTCACTTGCCAAATCATTGCTGTTGATCACTGAATGAAATCGTTTATTGAGTAATCTTTATGTCTTACTTAGTTAAAAAACTTTTGCACCTTAGTTTATAAACAAAGTTCACTTTGTAAAAGTCCAATAAATATATTTTTGATATTTCCACCACAGCTTTACAAGCAATTCCTTTTCTCTGCCCTATAATAACCACCTTCTGTACTTTTATGATTTATTTTAATATTGCTATTGCAACTTTTTACTGGGCGGACCCTTCAATGCCCTTGGCAGCAAGACTTTGTTGCAAAAAATCCAGAACTAAGCCTGTGCTTGGTGGCAACAATTATGAAGTTTCTCTGGATGAAGTTCAGGCCTTACTTGCCCTGACATTATGAATGTAACCTGAGTTAGTCCAGCTTCATCAGCGTTTCCAAAATAAGTAATCAGCATGAGTCCTATAACTTGTTGCTTAAATGAGTATATATTTTTTTTTAATTCAATGGTTTTGGATTATAAATATTTCATTTGATTAACATCTGGCCCAAATGGATTTTAGCCAAAACAATTAGTGGTACCTGTAATAAAAATGTGATACTGTAGGAAAATTATTTTTCTATTTGCATTTCTCCAATAACTCTGAATGAATTCATTTTAGACAGGATGTAAGCACGTGGGCTTCCTTAGCTAAAAGGCTAGATCTTTGGTTGTCTTTTTGTGAACTGCATCTACAGCAAGCAAGCAAAAATCTGAGGATTCTTAATTATTACTTCTTTATGAAGTAAAATTAAATAGATCATTAAAAACCATTGTACTATTACATGCTAGGAAATATTGAGCTGTGTGTCCAAGATTCACACTTAAGGCCAGGTTATTTTAATAAGTATAGGATAACTCTGGGTACTGTGAGATAATCCCTACTCGTCAGAAATGAACAGTGTCTTTTTTTCATTAAAGTTAAAAAGTCAATTATGTTTTAATTGTTTGTACTGAGAGATAAGTTAAGTAATAAAAATGAATTTGGTATGCTGTTGTGATATATTCATTATTGCATATTAATAAATCATATGTATTAAAACACACTATTGAATATTAGATTGTATTTAGAAATATTTAGTTCATATCACTTCAGTCATTTTAAAGGGGCTGGAACGATAGCACAGCGGGTAGGGCGTTCGCCTTACAAGCGGCCAACATGGCCAACCCGAGTTCGATTCCTCCGCCCCTCTCGGAGAGCCCGGCAAGCTACTGAGAGTATTGGATATGCCAGACACAGTAACAACAAAGTCTCCAATGGAGCCGTTACTGGGCCCGCTGGAGCAAATCGACGATCAACGGGAGTGCCTTTACCTTTACCTTTACCATCTTAAAGGATTATATTTTCATTACAACTTATATAACAGAAAACTATTAAAATATCAACCATAAAAGAATCTGGCCCAATTAAGAGAAATCTGATGATAGAAAAGCACAAAAAAGACATAACCAGAAGATGATAAGATTATTTTAATTTTCTTATTTGCACAGGAATTGTTTATTTTGCAAATCTCCGAATCTTTACGTAAAAACCCTCAGCGAATCATGGAAAGAAACTTAAGTTAGCAATTTTCCTTTGCAAAAATCTAGTTGCTAGCATCTGGTGAACACTTGAATACCTTCTTAGGTTCTGCGGAAATGATTATTTTAAGACTTTATACAACATGAGCTTGGACTTAAAAATCAGTTAGAATCACACTCTGCACGTGCGTTTACTACTGGGGATTTTAAAAGCTCACATTAGAGGCGGGGGTCTTATCAAGGCTGAACGGCCGTGGAGGTGTGGGGGAAGGTAGGAATTGCGGCACAGCCCCTATTCACAGCGACACGGCCACAGCTAAGCGGAGGGTCACCCCCACAGCTGGGTTGCTGGGTCGCTGGGCCATGGAACTAGTTTGTTTCTCACACTTACATTTAGACTTGGCCAGCTTGGGAATCTGGACAACGGCTTTGCTCGAGTAGTCCTCTGGACCGCCTGCGACCCGCAGAAGTTGCTTCACCAGTTGCCTCTCGGCTTCCAGAACAGCTTCTGAAGTGGGGGAGGTTCAGAAAGGAGACTGTTACTCAATTGGAAGAACGCTAAGAAACAGAATTGCTATTAAGGCTTTTTGATTTTGAATCCTGGGAGAAGTGACCTAATGAGGATGTATTAAAAAAAAAGGCACACTTCAATACATATGCTTATATTTACTGAAATGTAAGCGTATGTTTAGGGGATATTATAGATTATGCTATATGCTAATGAGAAATATATATATTTATATATGTATATATTTAAAATATACATATATTTATATATGTATAAATATATATATACATATATATATATATGCCTCTCAGAGAGCCCAGCAAGCTACAGAGTATCCTGCCCACAGGGGCAGAGCCTGGCAAGCCTGGCAAGCTCCCCGTGGCATATTCGATATGCCAAAACCAGTAACTATAACAGGTCTCATTCCACTGACCCTGAAAGAGCCTCCAATCATTGGGAAAGACAAGTAAGGAGAGGTGGCTAAAATCTCAGGGCTGGGATGAATAGATATGTTACTGGTGCCTGTTCTACAAACAACAGGATGACTGTGATACAGTGATGCTAATGAGAGAATGATTGTTGTGTCTTTGCCTGCACCTATGCACTTACTGGTGTTTAAACATATACCAGATAGTTTTGGCCCAAATAAACAATGAATTATATATTCGTATTGCTTTCTATAATGTTTTGCGTGCTGCATACTCATGAATTTAATTACTCTGAATAGAGATTTAAGATCTATTAGAAAGCATTTGGGCATCTGCTATAGAGGAAGCAAATTTATGAGCAAGTAATTCATCAGGAAGAAAACTTAGGTTTATGTAAGGAAAGTGGACTCTTGTAGTAACACATTCCTACCTAACTTAAAACAATAATCACTAAGTTAATTGTTCCTAGATAAGATCTGATAAGATTTTAATTTGCAACACTTTTATGTTTTTGCTTAAACTTCTGTTGTTGTTTAATTAGTGGACTATATGTGATAAATCATTTATAATTTAGACTTCTTACAAATCATGGACTTCTGCATTCATTAGCTTGATATCAGGAAATTAACTTTGTGTTGTGTTTTTTGTGATAGACCATCTGTACTTTGCCTTGGTATATTTCCGTTGTTTAGAAAATATTACCTATATTTGTTCTTCAAGAAAGATTTAACCAGGAATAATTTTAGACATTCAGATAAATAAAAAGATTCAAAAGTGAGAATTGGTTGATTAAGAAACAAGTGTAGCAGCTTAATCAGTGGCTGAATAAATTGCAGTACTCCTACATTAAAAAAAAAAAGAAACAAGTGTAGGACAATATGGCATTTGTCCTGCACGAGTCTGACCTGGGTTCAATCCCAGTATCCCATATGGTTCAATGAGCCTCACCAAAAGTGATCCCACAGCACAGAGTCAGGAGTAAGCCCTGAGCACTGTCATGTGTGCTCCCTGCTCACCCCACAAAAGAAAAAGAAACGGGTACAGAATTGAGTGTCCAATGTAGGATTTCTGTAATGCGATGCAAATAATTATTCTAGAGTAGTACTATTCAGAAAAGCAATATTTTCTGTGATAATGGAAATGTCTGTTATTTGAGTGATATGGCAAATGCTAGCCACATTTGACTAATGGGCTTAAAATGTGGTTAGTGTTACTGAAAGATTAAGTTTATATTTGAAGTTTTATTTCAAATATTAAATTGAATTTATTTTAAGGGCTGGATCGTTAGCACAGCGGGTAAGGCGTTTGCCTTACACGTGGCCAACCCAGTCGGCCCAGGTTCTATTCCTCTGCCCCTCTCGGAGAGCCCAGCAAGTTACCGAGAGTATCTCGCCCAAAAGGCAAAGCCTGGCAATCTCCCTGTGATGTATTAGATATGCCAAATGCAGAAACAACAAGTCTCACAATGGAGATGTTACTGGGCCTGTTTGAGAAAATCGATGGACAATGGGAGGACAGTGCTACAGTGCTTTATATTTTAATAAAATTTAAAATATATAATTTAAATTTTAATATCTACTTTTGTAGGAGCTAGAGATGGGATTCAAAGCTAGAGCATATTTGCCTCACATACAAAGGACTCTGGATTCCACCTCCAGCACATATACACAAAAGATTATGTGCATAAGTAGCTACATGTGGATAGTGACTACTATAAAGGGAGGACTAACTATAAAGTTTATCTCTGGTTTTAATATATATGCGAGTCCCTTTCTTTTACACACGGATAGTCTACAGAAACCTAGTGTGCCCAAAGCACAAGGGCTTGTCTCTGACATAGTCTTTCCTAGGAAGACTTTCTAATGTAAGTTTAGGTCTAGAATGTGGATATAATATCATTCAGGATATTGGTTCAACTTGTGGATATGCAGACATAAATAAAGTGTGGATTAGTCACAGTGATTTAAGAACTCTTTGTCTCTCGAAAGTCAGGGATCTCAAGTGATCCCTAGTAATGAAGATCAATGATGATAAATGAACCCAAGGGCTTGACTTTTTCAGTTCATTGCTTAAGTGGTATGATGGGCAGGTAATAAAAACAGATATTATGGAGATATTACACAAACATAGATACCTACATGAAATTCTCAAAATTCAGTATGGATAATAGGAACAAAGTTATATAATACTTTCTTGCTTTTCCCCCAACCATTCTTAAATACATATTTATTGGACACTATATTATTCAAGACTCAATATTTAGTATTGGAGTTAAAAAAAAAAACAAAGCAAAAACCCCCAAAGATTTTATCACTAATATCTTCTTCCAAAATCATTTCCCGCTGAATATCATGAAAATAAAGCAGGTGAGAGAGGGTAAATATAAAAGGTGGAAATTATCCTTCTGTGTATCATATATCTTACTCAACTTCTTTTTTGCATAGCTTTCAGAGTTCAATACCCAAGTAGATGACAAAACTGCTTTTTGAAATGCAGCATTTGGAAGCAGCACATAAAATTGGAAAAAAAAACCTCAATTGTAAATTTTAGCGCATGGATAAACACAGTCATTTAGAATTTGAGTACAATATGTTTAAAAGTTCTTTTCTCTCATGAATCAGATGAATCTTTTTTGTGGTTTATAGAAAAACATGAAAGGAGAATGTAAGGTATTGAAGGCAGGAAAGCTCTTGGCCCTAGACTATAGAGATGGAAAGGTTAGGAAGATAGAAAAATGTGGGGAGTGGGGAAATAAAGAGGTTTCCTGGAACTAGTACAGGCACAAGAATCAGGGATGTTGGATATATTGGTGATGTAGAAACAAGATGCTTCCATTGATCTAAACTACTAGAGCCAATGCAACTGTAAGAATGGGGGCCAAACTACAACAGTTAAACTTTAAAATGTGCCTAGCAAGTAGTTAGGGGATAACAAGAAGGGGAGGCGACCTGGAAACTTTGGTGGAGGGATAGGACACTGGTAGCAGGTTAGGAGTTGGAACACTATCTCTGTCACTGTCCTCTCATTGTTCATCAATTTGCTCGAGCAGGCCCAGTAATGTCTCCATTTTGAGACTTGTTGTTACTGTGTTTGGCATATTGAATACGTCATGTGTAGCTTGCCAGGCTTTGCCATGCGGGTGAGATACTCTCAGTAGCTTACCAGGCTCTCCGAGAGGGGCGGAGGAATCGAACTCGGGTGGGCCATGTCAGCCGCGTGCAAGGCAAATGCCCTACCGCTGTGCTATTGCTCCAGACCCTGGAACACTATATGTCTGAAATTCTTTTGTTGACAGTTTTGTAAATCATAGTGACTAAACAAAAACAAAACACAAAAAAACCATAAAACAAACAAAATTACTAAGAGACTTTTGTTGCTGTTATGTGATGGTGTGTTACTGTTTTTCTGACTGGAATGAAAAGTCTGCTATCACATCCTCGGAGAGTTTTTTTGTGACTATCCAGTCTGAAGTCATCTACATCTTGTAGTATTTTTATAAATTAACTCTTTCACTTCATCGAAGTGTTTACCTTATCCTTACTTAGCATTTGTTCATTTGTATTCTGCTCAACATCGAACCTTCCTTTCTCCTTTATTCTCTCCTAGGTAGAAGGGAACTTTGTTTTGTTTAATGTCCCTTGCAACCAGAAAATTAGGTCTGGTGCACAGCGGTTGTATTGTAAATATTTGCTGGATGTCTTGCAAATACTTTTTGTGTGTCTGTAACATAGAACTTAGTAGAACAAAAGAAACACTGTTTGACATCATTATAAGAAAGCAAAAATTGTAAATTATGTGGACATTTTGAAAAGCTTTGATGGTTCTGATTAGAGTCAAGTACATTGCTTGAATTTTGATATAAAGAAAACCCACAAACAAAATCACAACAGCATAAATTTATTTCTGGAGTGAGTATGATGAGAACTTTTATGTCTAATCAAATATTTTAAAAAAGGAACTACCACTCAACAGGCTCCTTACTTTGAAATGAAAAATGTGTACCTCCCATCAATATTTTCTTTTGCTGTTAAACATGCTGTTTATTTACTGGATTATGAACAAGTCTTAGTAAAGTATTCTTCTTTCATCACTAAAGTGTTGAAGACAGAATTTTTTCCTCCTTTTTTAAAATACTGGATTATACAAGCCTCAAGAATGAAGAAATATCTTAATTACTGCATTGGATGAATGGAATTATAAGGGAATTTCTACTGTTTATTATATACTGTTTATCATTCATTTTAGGATGTTATAACCATAGAGGTAAGGCCTCAGTAGCCAGGTATCACTAGAGCCTATAGGAATGGAATCTATTTCTAAGAGAAAATCCATGAGAAAAAATATATTGATAATTAAATGTCCTACTATGTTAGTAATTATGCAGGATGCACACACATACACACACACACATACACTCACACACACATTTAACTGAGGTTGCGTTAAGGTACCACTAAACATCTGCATTATTGGATCACTATTTTTAGTATTATATTGTTAGAGAAATATTAATCTTCATTGATTTATGAAACTCATAATGTGATGACAG